AATTACTCTCTACTATTCTGAAAGCTTGAAATATCTCTAAATTAAAACCAAAATTATACATACAAGGAGACTCACTGACGCATTCTTTGTAAGTACCGAAGATTAGTAACAACCTGAATATGCATCCACAGGGGGGAGAGCTAAACAGGTTTGGATATAGTCATGCAACAGAATACAAAGCAACCATTAAAAAGAATAAAGGGGCTGGTGTTGCTCAATTGTTGAGCATTGACCCATGCTCAACAATTGAACAAGAGGTTCCTGTTCAATTCCTGGTAAGGGCATATGCCCGAATTGTGGGCTTGATCCCCAGTGGGGGGCATGCAGGAGGCAACCAATCCATGGTTCTCTCTCATCATCGATGTTTCTATCTCTCACTCCGTCTCCTTTCCTCTCTCTGAAATAAATAAAAACCTATATATTTAAAAGTCTAAAGGGGATATGTGTTCTTAGGGAAATATCCCAAATATACCAGTAAGTGGAGAAGAAAGCAAATTAGAAAATAATATGTATAGTATGACCCAAATTTTTATATAAAAAAGCAATATAAATCCTATATATAAATATTTGTAATAAAATCATGCTCTGTTAAAAAATAATTACTTCTAAGAAACAGTAAGCTTTCACTTTCTACTTTATATACCTCTATGCTTTAAAATCTGATAAAGAATATGTTTTATTTCTGAAAACTTAAGAAAGTTTTTCTAAAGGGATATAAAGAACCAAGAGTCAAAATCTAATATTATTGCGCATTTACTATATGCTAACACGTTGGCACTCAGAATCTTCCTTATGCCTCATTAATCTAATGGGTACATGTTCGCATTTGAACATATACTACCTCCCTTTGAAGAGAAGGAAGAGGAAGAAACAGAAGCTCTTAGATGTGAAATGACTTGCCCCAAATGACACAGCTAAATAAGTTGCCAAATGAGTTGTAACCTGTACCGCTGTCTTCGTCCATCACTCCTGTCATCTACATGAGAAACAGAAGCACACGGGGCGGCTACCAGATCTTGTAATGAGTTGGTGAGTATCAGGAGCTGTGAGCCAGGCAGCACTTATGTCCCTGGCATGGTGGAATGGATGTGCCTGCCCTCTAGCCACAAGTGCATACGTCAGGTTATATCTTGACCTGGCTCCTTCTCAGGGAAGAGGTGAGAGGATGTGACAGAAAAGGTGGATTCCCTCCACATCTTGGCCACAGCTGCTCCATGGAGAGAGCGGCTGTCACTAGAGTCGTCCCAGCCAGACCAAATCCCAGCGGGGTCACTCCTACCTGAAGGCTACACACAGAGTGGATCATACACCGGCCACAACTTCCTCCCTCCTGAGGCAGAAGGAGTGACAGTGACGAGGTGGTGGCACTCGGAGCTGTGCCCTCTCAGATTCCGCTGCCGGAAAGGGTTCTCTGCCCTGCTGCAGGTGTACAGTTAGCGGACAGACTCCTGTTAGTTTCCTAAGGACAGAAACCTGAGCTTTCCAGGGAAGCACCTGCCAATAGCTGGGCGAGGATGTGGCTGAGTCCCTGTACAGGACTCCTTGAGTTGGCATCTCTGCTGCAGCGGGCACTGTGGGGATGGCATGGCCTCTCTCAGATCTGCACTGTGGCCTGATGCTTCCCTGACCCTAGACTGCCTCCTTCCCTATTCTTTCATAGATACGTGAAGTGCACAGCCCAGGGGCGCGGATCACTGCAGAAGCTATTCACAGGACTATAGATGTTTCTTCTCCCCCACACCTCACCACCCCATCACTGAGGGCCTCTTTGCCCATTTCTTTTACCCAGTATATCCTGTCCAGCTGTCAACAAAGAGTTGCAAGGCATTCTCACAGGCAAAAAAACCACAATGTGAAGAGCCAGAGCTAGCAACAGAACCAGACCCAGACATTCAGGGATGTTGGAATTATCTGACCAAGAATTTAAAACAATGATGACTAATAGGCTAAGGGCTCTCATGGAAAAAGTAACACATGAAACCAGGTAGATAATGTAAGCAGAGAAATGGAAATTCCAAGAAAAAACCAAAAACACTGTAACCAAAATGAAGAATGACTTGAAGGAGCTCATTAGGAGACTGAACACAGCTAAGAAAAAATATCTCTGAGTATGAGGCTATGTCAAATAGAAACCTCCAAAACTGAAACACAAAGAGAAAAAGGACTCCCCAAAATAGAACAGAATGTGCAAGCATTGTGGGACATACAGGTAATGAGAATACTGAGGGAGGAGCGAGAAACAAAAAACATTTGAAGCAATAATGACTGGGAATTTCTCTAAATTCATGTCAGACACAAAACTACAGAGCCAGGAAGCTCAGAGGACACCTAACTGGATAAATGACCAAAACACACACACACACACACACACACACACACACACACACAACACAAACCCACATACAAGGGACAGGAGAGAGGAATTAGGAATATTTTGTCATAAGCAGCACAGTGTTACTTGAAAGTAGACCTGGATTATTTGTAAATGTACACTGCAAACTCTAGGACAACCACTAAAAAAAAAAATAAGAAAGAAAGAAAGAAAAGAAAAGAAGTATAATTGATGTGCTAAGAAAGGAGTGAAAACAGAATCATACAAAATGCTTAATTAAAACTACAAAAGGCAGAAAAAGAGTGAAAGACAAAACAGGAACAAAGAACAAGGGCACAAATAGAAAAGAACTAATATGGTAAATATTAATCCAACTATATCAATAATCACTTTAAACATCAACAGTCTAAATGTGCCAATCACACCAGAGATTATAAACGTGGATCAAAAAATGAGACAATTATATGCTGTTTATAAGAAATCCACTTGAAATATAAATACACATATAGATTAAAATAAAAGGATGAAGAAATATATACCATGCTAACACTAATCAAAAGAAAGTTAGAGGTCTGGCCAGTATTCTCAGTGGTTAGAGCATCAGCCCATGCACCAAGGGTGGCAGGTTCAATTGCTGCTCAAAGGCACATACCTGACCCCCAGCCCCAGTGCAGGTGCATGCAGGAGGCAACCAATCAATGTGTCTCTCTCACATTTTTCTCTCTCGTTCTCGCTCTCTTTCTCCCTCTCCATCTCTTCCACTTCTCTCAAAAAAAAAAAAAAAAATCCTTGGGTATAGATTAACAAAGAAAAAAAAAGAAAGCTAAAGTAGCCATATTAATTTCTGACAGACCAGACTTCAAAGCAAGAACAATTATCAGGGATAGTGAAGGGCATTACATAATGAAAAAGAGGTCGATTTTTAAGAAGACATAACAATCCTTAATGGTAATGCACCAGACAACAGAGCATCAAAATCGTGTGGCAAAAACTGATAGCACCAGACGGAGAAAGAGATGAACCCACTATTAGAGTTGGAGACCTGAACACCCCTCTATCAGAAATGGACAGAACCAGCAGGCAGACAATCAGTAAGGATCTATATAGCACCATCAATCACCTGGATATACCTGACAACAGCAGCAGAATACACCTTCTTCTCAGCTCACCTGCAACATGCACCAAGCTAGACCACATTCTGCGCCATCAAACACACCTTCACAAACTTAAAAGAGTAAAAATTACACAATGTCTGCTCCCAGACCACAATGAAATTAAACTAGAAGTCAATAACAGAAAGATAGCTGTAAAATCCCAAAATATTTGGACAACACACTTCTAAATAACACATGGGATCAAAGAAATCTCAAGACACATTTAAAAATATTTTGAGGCCAATGAAAATGAAAACACAACTTATCAAAATGTGTGGCCTGCAGTGAAAGCAGCGGTTAGGAGGAAATCTATAGCCCTGAATGCATATATTAGAAAAGAAGAAAGATCTCTAGGAAACTAGGAAAAAACCAGCCAATTAAATCCAAAGTAGGCAGAAGAAAAGAAATAATAAAAAACTAGAGCAGAAATCAATAAAATTCAAAACAGAAAACCATTAGAGAAAAATCAACAAAATCAAAAGCTGGTTCTTCGGAAAGATCCATAAAATTGGCAAGCCTGTGGCCAAGTTAACTAAAATTTACTAGCCCCTGGGATGTGACTCAGATGTTTGCCTCACATTGCCAAGCAATGAGCAATTTCTTATGCAAGACAGGTAGACAATAACACTAGCATCCTTTCCTTGTTTTTTTTTTTTTATCCATTTGATCAGTTAAAAAACACTTACTACTGATGAACAGGTACTGTGTGCCAGGCACTGTTGTAAGTGCTTAGGACACATTAGTGGACAATAAACACAATAAATAAGTAAGCTGTATAGTGCATTAGAGGGTATTAAGTGGAGAAAACTACAGAGCAGGTTGAGTTACGAATATTTTTTATTTTGTTATGAATGTTTATATAAAACATATACCTGTGTACATATGCTAAGCAAATACTTTTATTTTCTTCCCTCTCTTATCCCCTCATCATCTAACGTAACGTGTATTAATTATAGTTAAGTTTATATATTTTAAGTATTTAAATTATAAGATACCAAAAAGTGTGAATATCACCCAAGGACTTGTCCCAGCAAAAGGGAGAATACCACCCTGGTTAGTCGGGATCATATGTGGTTTTGTTTTCTTTTTGCTTCCTGTATCTTCTTTTCCTCTGATCCTATATATTGTTCAAATATATATATATATATATATATATATATATATATATATATATACATATATATATATATTTGAACAATATATATATATATGGTCTACAGGTACAACCCCCTTTCGTATATATAGCACTTCTAGCTCCTTCCCTACTCCTTCAAAAAAGTGAATTGATACATGTAAGCTCAAGCAACTTGGAATAGAGCTGTCTGCAGTCCCTTTTACAGATGGGAGTTTAGTCACTTACCCAAAGTCATACATCATGGTATACAGCCCAGCCAGGTCAAGAGTCTGGGGATCCTGAAGGTCCCTTCCAAGCCAGCACACTCACTGTGCACCATTTACTCAGCCCCTGGGCCCCACAGAGGTGAAGTATAAGATGATCTGGCCCTTGCCCTTACCTCGGCCAGGCGGGAGTGCTTGTGCACGTTCTCGCCTTTCTGCACGCTGGGAGCCAGCTGCTGCAGGACACCCCTGCTGCTTGTCAGCGCTCTGGTCAGCCGAGCAAACTTCCCCCAGCCTGGAGCATGCGGAAGAGAAAAAAGACAAGTTCAGCCACGTCCTGAAGGTACATGGACAGTCACACCACAAGCTACACTGTCAGAAGCAGACACCCCATGGCTTCCTGAGCTCCCTCCCTGTGGTCACAGTGAAGCCTTGCTGCTCAGAAAAGCACACAGAGATGCTCAAATCTGTGCCGCTTTGCCCTGCACTCTCACTGTATCCCCATTATGACTTTGTGACGTAGGTGGGGCAGGTTTTAGCACCTGCTTACAAAAGGGAAACTGAGGCACGGGGTGCTTAGACACCTAGAAAGAGTCTAGAACCCACATCTCTCCAATCTGGCCCAAGGCTTTCCAGCCAGACACTAGAGGCAATCGCGATGCTTCTCTGACCTTGTGACTGAGCTCAACCCCGGCATCTGATCTAGCAGAGACCCAGCTCACCCAGGGTTTCAAACAGACAAACTGTCAATCGGCCATTCCATTCTCCAAAGCCAGGAGAATAAAAAATGAGTTAAATCCGTGGGTAAGTGGGGGAAAAGCACGGGCAGACTTTAGTCTGCTCTGGGATTGGGGGAAAGACAGTTGGTGACAGGTCCCCTTAAAACAAGGAACTCAGAGAGACTCGGACTGAACTCAGGATCCAGAGTCCCAGAAAGAATCTGAATACAAATCCCATCTCTGCCTCCAGCTTTGTAATCCCCAACAAGTTACCTGGGCTTAGTTATCTCATCTGTGAAGTGAACATTAAAATACTCTACCTCCCCACAGTCAGGGTGCGTTTGCCTGGTAAAACAAATGGGCTCTGATTGATGGGCTATAGCGGAGGTTGTCGCAAGGCCTCCTTGGCCATCTGGACTCGTCAGTCTATCCAGGAAAAGGACAATACTGATCTTTTTCTAATCCAGCACACTTGATACCCAGAATCTAGGATGTATGAGTGATCTTTACCGAGAATTTAAGACATATGGGTGATCTTTTTAAGGTCCCCAAAGACAACTGTCCCTTCCAAAATCCAACACCCCATTTGCATCAAGGTTGACCAAGGCAACTGCCTCACGGAACCCCTGAAAGCCTGTCGGGGTTCTCAAGGTCAACCTTGGGGTTGAGGGTCCCCAGCAAATAAACAGAGCATGCAACTATTTTTCCATGACAGCTAAAATCAGGACAAGGCAATTTTATTTTTTGTCCTTTAAAGTTTGGCAGTATTCAGTGCCTGGCTGCAGAAACCTCATCGGCCAAGTGCTGCCCTGGAGCACCTTCCCAACACAGACTCCGAATCCAGAGGACAATGCAGCTAAGCAGGAGAATGGCCCTGAATCCTTCCCCAGACCAGAAGAAATGGAACTGCAGCTCCTCTGAGAGTAGGTCCAGGGATACCAGGAAAGACATCCACAGGCCCCTCCCTGGGAACTCATGCCCATCACTTTGAGTAGAAGCTGCAGAGGACCCCTGTAAGGCGTCCTCACTCCCGTGGGAAGGCTGTCCTAATCTGTAGAGTCACAGATTCTCTGAGAGGAGCTGGTGCCATAGCCCAACGTCCAGAAGGGAACAATGGACGCATGGGGCCAGGATGGATGATCAATGTGGACACTGCCTAAATGTCAAGTCTTCCTCACCCATCTTTTCCCTATCGAGGTACAAATAACCAAAAATCTACAATGATGTCTTCAAGTAGAGGTCACTAAATCATCACCTTTCCATCATCCTAAAGGAATAAGATAAAATGTTAATACTGGGAAGGGGTTCGGGAAGAAGGGGCCTGTGGCTTGTATCCATTATTCTGTTTCTTTCCTGAGTGCCTCACAAATCTCCCACATGAAGACACATTAAAACAGGCCGGCAGTTACCACCGCTTGCCAGAGCTCTCATCTCCAACTATTCTAAATCTCTGGCCTTCAAAAATCTCCTCTGGAGTTTTCCATTCCGTTTGTTGTCTGCATTTGGCTCAAGTTTAACTATACATTTAAGAAGACATTACATGCATCTTTGAAAATGGGTTTGCTCCTTTAATGTGAGATTACTTGGTGGGGGTCTGAGAAAAAAAACAAGAGGGGTGACTCATTCTTCGGTGAGCAATGCAGAGAGAAGGGCCTGAGCCTTACACTCTGGCTCTTCCCTGTGCACCTGCCCAAGGCTGGCTCAGCAGGGAGAATGGGACAGAGAAAAATACACTGTAGTCTATTCCCAATTACCCATAAGGACAGAAAGCAAGAGATAAACAAATAAAACCCCTGGAGCATCACAGATTCTTATTTCAGCCAAGAATTTCCACTTTCTCATTCAGCCTACACACACACACACACACACACACACACACACACACACACACATGCACGCACACGCACATGCACACGCACACACACACGCGCGCGGGCACATGTGCACACACACGCACACGCCCCAGAGCTGTTCCCAAGCAGCAAACCTAGCTTGGCCTTCATGCCTGCTCCATACCATCTGTGGGTACTTTTTGTCAGAGAGCAAGGGAATAAGCCAAAGGATGGACAGAAAAGAGAAGAAGAGGAATTCAAGGATCTGGATAATTCATCAAAAGGATCATGAGAGCTTATATATTAAATGAAAGAGGGGGCTCAGAGAGCCTTTCCCAGGCCCGTCACCTGTGCTCAGAGCTCTGGGAGAAAGGCCAGTTACTTGGCGTCAAGTGTTAAATAGACTATTGCCATGGGTTTACCCCTTTGTGGGTTGTTTGTGGGAAAATATGAGGCACCAACTGATTTCTCGAATCCACTATTAGGATGCACTTGCCCCATTCCCAAGCCCAAAGTTAGGCACTGCATGATCAGAGAAAATAAAGTCATTTTAGAGATAATCAGCCCAAGTGGCTTTTAAAAAGACTGATCTGAGGGTGGGAAAGCATCTTTTAAACAAGCCTAAGTCAGCAACACTCTTAAGACCCTGGATGCTGATGGACGTGTGGGACCAAGACGCCGCTGCTGGACCTGTGGGATCTCACAATGAGAGAGCACGCCCAAGGAGAAATGTCAAGTCAGAGAGCAACCCAGCCACAGGGCAGCACATTTTCCATCTCGACTTGGTCCTTGAGGCCAGAACTGCAGTTTATAGGCTTATGAACAAGGCCTGGAGAATGATCACGTTCTTCTATCATAAACAGACTAGTATAAAATTTGACCTTGTCCTAAGCAGACCACCAAATCAGCGTGGGCCAGGGGCACAGCGACATGACAAGTGGGAGGGTCTACGTGTATCTGCCATGGCTTTTGAAATGGACAGGCTTATAAAGCATGTCCGGGAGGAGACGTTAGGCACGATCCACTAGCAGCATGCCTACATTGAGGACGAAAGTGTGTGTGTGTGTGTGTGTGTGTGTGTGTGTGTGTGTGAAGGAAATACATCGTTGAAGCAGGTTCAATGAAGTGGAACATTTTATTTCTGAAAAATAAACCTCAGTGAGTCTCACCAACATCACTCATATAAGTGAGTCTCATTTATCACACAAAATGTGACTTATGTCTTCTTTCAGGTTTCATGAGAATCAAATGCAGACAGCAGGTGACATGTGAGGCGTGTTCTCTATTGAGTATGCCTTTCCCACTAAATAGCACCTACATGTCACCTGAAGATGTTCCAGTGGTGGTGAAAACATTCTGGCTCGACCTAATCACGCAGTTTACATTGTTAAGAGAAAACTTGCAAAAATAAGTGTCACAGTATCTGATTACCTTTAAAATATTATTTGTGAGTTTATTCAGTTAAAGCAAATGGCCTTTCTAGGTGGCAGCAAGGTGTCACTTAATCATGAGGGAGCCTATCACCAAGTAATAGCTCTTGCACTGAGAAATCTTCCAGTCAGAAACTAGAAAGCAGGGAATCCCACATCTGCAGGAGAAAGGGTGCCTGCAGGAGGCCGAGACACTGGTGGGAGGCTTCACATCTGCTGTAGTCTTAAACCAAAAGGCAGGCCAAAATTGATTTGCTACACTATCAGTAAAAAAAAATAAAAATGGACTGGTATACACAGTACTATGCTCTGAGCTCTGTAAATGTAAGCATCCAAATGTGCTAGGATTTTAAATATCCTCACGGAACACAGCCCCTGAGAGCATCCACATAATTAATGCTTTTTAGTTCCTCCTATAATTCCCATTTAACAATCACAATTTGGTCACATCGAGAATAATAGGCCCCAGTTTGCCTCCCCTGGGTTCCACTCTCATCTCTCTGCTGTGTCGCAGGAAACCATGGGCGCAGAGCTCTCTGGCAGAGCTGGGAAGTCAACCACAGGCACAGAGCCAGGGAGCACTGCAGTATGAATGCGCCCCTAGCCTCCCAGTTATCATGAGTAGATGCTTTGGAAGAGGGATGGAAAAGAATGTCATGACACCCTCGAATCCCAAACCTCTGGGAACAGCGTGCCATCTTTTATATATCCTGATGAGTGGGCCTCTTCAGGAGGACTGTTGTTCTAGAAATCTGAGCTGTCTCCTTTCCTAATCACCAATATTATTCAAACGATGCATGCATGTGGTGTGGCTGAGGTGTATGGTAACATCTGTTGTCACAGCTGATTAAATGACACCCATGGAAATGTTACTCATGCTCATTAATACCGTGTTTCAAATAAATGAAATGGCTGCAGACTTACTCAACCACACTGATAGAAATGGGCTAAAATCTACTTTAACAATCTTGAAATCCTAGAACTCAGTCAAATTTAAAGATGTGTGTATACATAAAGATGAATGTGGCCAAAGACTACCTCATTTAGGTGACTGACATCTGTCATGTGAAAACCCAAGAGGATTCTGATGAGGCCAGAGATGCCCAACTACCTTCTTCTAAACTTCATTGGAAAGGATTGATCTGAACAGGTATAAAACTGATTCAGATGCTTCCCTAAACAAAGCTTTTATTCTCCCCTTCTCCTCCCTCAATTCATTCCAGAGCAATAAAATGCTTTACTATCAAAGTTTAAATCTTGATCTTTGTGCAGAGATTTCCTTGGCAACCTCAAATTCTCTGTAATGCAGCTCACAATGCAGGCAAAAAAAAAAAAAAAGCCACAAATATACAAATCAGAATTACAAACCTTTACATGAATCATCTTCAATTGGCTGTTTGAAAGCTGTTATGTCACTGAAAGTGCAAAGAAATAAAACCACTTTATCCTGTTCGTTTCGAATTGGAGCAATTTTCACAAAGAACCACACAGGTGTTCCTGAAAGAAATATCAAAAGACTGGTCAGTCATTTGCATTCTCATTTGAGGGGCTATGGAAGCAAAGAATTGAGAATGAATAGCTACAAATATTAATTTTTTTTAAAAAAAAAACCACTTTACTCCTTCAGGTACTGGGGTTATTATGCCATTAATTTCTCTTCTTGCTGAAATAAAAACCTTCACAGTGCCTACTTAGTGTGGCTTTTCTCCTGTTAAAATAATGTTGTAAATGCAGATCTCTTAACCCTTGTAAAACTATGAGAAAATGGGTTGAAAAATCCCTCCAAATGTATGGTAATAGCTAAGGCCCAGAGACACAAAGACTTACTTGACCATGTGATGGAGTAAAGAGTAGGGGCCAGAATGGGCACTGCCAACATGGCCGGCAAACCATGCAAACCCAAATTTCCTAAAGGGCCCCCGTGTCAAAATCCAGTTTGGGAATCCATCCAATGTGGCCCATATGCTCCATCAACCATGGACCAGAAACTGTATTTCTAAGTCTCTCTCCCCAAAATAAAAATTCTGAAGGTCCAGTAAAATAGCAAGTGACAACACATTGAGAAGGGAAAGAAACACCTCAATGATTCTCCAGCAAAGGCTCCCCGAGAAAGGGAGTTTTCCGGGTGGCTTGGGGTTGTGATTACATTAGTACCTCAGGAAGCTCAGTGAAAGTGGTTCAACTTTTAGTCCTTGCTCCTGAGCTAAAGTAGGGGCTAAATGAGCTCTTCCAAAGCGCTGTCCTAATCCACAGAAGGAGAAACTGAGCAGGGCTCCTCTCACTGACTTCTCATACCCACTCAAGTATCAGCCAAACACCTACACAAAGTCAGTCTCCAGCTTCCAAGACATGATGAGGGAAAACAAGTGTTTTCTATCTCCAGAGGACATCAGCAAGTCTCACCGATCAATTCTGTGATACAAAATTAAATGAGGCACAGAGCAATGACAAATCCCTCCCTATCTAGTTCTTGTCTCCCAGTCCCTAAAACAGCATCGGGCATGTAAGAACCTACTATTTGTTGAATTTTGCATAACTGGGCTAGTAATTTTACATACTATTTGATAGCCATTTTCAAGTTAAAATACAATAAATATTTCTCTATGTTAAGTATTAGGGAAGCTTCCAGGCACTGGGCTCAGTATTTATTTTACTTTATTTTAGGAGATAGAAAGCAAATAACTCAATGAATCTTGGAGATGGAAATAGATCCCCAAGAGGTCACCTGGGTCTCTCTGCCCACAATCACATCAGCTTTCATATCATACAACACAGATAGACAGACATCTTTGATTAACATTAGGATTAGCCAGTCTAACTTAATAACTAGTTTACATATCCAGCTATACCATTTATATAAATATGACTAACCCATGTAAAACAGGCAGCAAATAGATTAAAAGAGAATTGTTCACCTTAAACCTTAATTATCTATGGGTTCATCTATAGTTAATTTTAATTCGCTGTCCATTTTCCCTTTCCATAATTTTCAGCTGCCAGTTTCTGGGCGCTCTTAGAAGACAACTGGATTATAATGTCACTAAGAAAAATGTGTTTTGAAAGAAAAATCCACTATACAAAGATCACAAATGGCTTTCCAAAATCAAGAAAATGTGGCCTCTGAATTATCCACTGTTTTTGGAAAGTCTGTGTACTGCTTCTCCCAGTCTCCTCCTAAGAAGCTGTGGGGTTGAAAATCATTTTCAATTAAGCAACGGAAAACTAAAAAGAAAACATAACACCAACTGAGCCCATGTACCCACAGCTCTCGGGTGTATCCTAGCTGGTAAGACAAAAAGCAAACAAATCAAAAAACCATTTTCTTTTTGCTGTAAAGAAAACTTTAAGCGATTTTCGTTTAAGGTGGTAAACCAGAAAGCACTTCTAATTTATCGAAGTTATAAATCAGATGAGAGGACAGCTATGATTGATGTCTAACATCAGCAGCCCTGTCTTGCTGGAGTCCCCAGCACCCTCCCCTTCACAGCTGCCACCATGGGTCCTCCACTGTGCTCTATCGGCCTGTGAACATTCCAGTTGGGGCTGTACCATCTAATCTTTATATTCCATTCATGACTACTGGAATTGATGACAACCTACATCTTCCAGATCATGAGAGCCACTATGTCAGTCATATTGCGGGGGGGGGGGGGGGGGTCCTTCATTTTATCACAGTTCCAGCTCATCATGAATTCTCCCATTTCAACAGTTCAGACTGCTTAAAACTGAGTGCTTCTCTTCACTAAATTGTACCCACTGCTTGCTTCCAGAAATGCTCCCCTATTAAACACATGCTATTTTGATCATCCCTTTTCTACTGAATATACTAGTATATCTTGTACCAAAAATTCGTATAGTTGGTCTTTATTGCCTTAGAGTTCGTCTCCAGCTGATCATTTGAACATGTTGAGGGAGGAACCTTCTTTTCCCTAATCTGATGTTTCTCTGTACAAGGACATCTTTCAATGTAACACTCAAGGCTTTTTCCTGGGCTGCTAATTTGGGGGACAAGAATTGGACATGGGCAGCTTGTCTACTTCTCCCGCTCTACTTTCTTAGAGATTAATCTGCATTCTGCTATGCTCCTCCATTTTATAAATGTTGGGGGGGGGTGTCAAAGGACAGAGCGGATGGCTGCTAGGAGGAGAACTGAAGTTCTCCCATGCTACCTGGGATGGGTAGGTAAGTCTGTGTAATTCCAGGATTCATTTTAAGAAACTGTTGACCTAAAAAAAATAGTCAGTAATTTTACCTGCATAAATGGGCTTATTCAGGGATAACAAATAATTACAATTCCAGACATGGAAGCTATGGCAAAACCATAGGCAAGTCTGGAGAACAAAGGAGAGAAACCTTTTTTTTTTTTTTTAAGAGGAAAGAGATGGGGGAGGTGTGTTGGGAGGGACTTTTACAAACACTGGAGAAAGCTGGGATTTCCAAGTGCAGTGGTTTTCACTGGCAGAGTTACTGAAAGGGATGAGCTGTTGCCAGGCCAGGGTAGGCAAGTAGAAACTTCTTGTTGGAGATGCAAAGTATGGGTCTCTTCCTGTTTGGGGTAATTGATCATGAGTGGTAGGCTGTGAGAGCTCCCCCTACAGGCCCTCCCAACTCTATTTTAGTTGAGGTTCCCTTTATTTTCACAAAACTCTCTTGCCTACAGATATGAACTACATTTTCCAGGATCAGCTTTACTAGTCATAAAGATGATGTTTTAACCTCCATTTGCCCAATTTCTACATCTCTCTCAATCAGTTCTGTTCACAGGCAGGGAAAGATGGTGCTATGTAATGACCCCATCAAACCTTTACAATTGAGAACTGTCTCTTTAACTAGATCATAATCCACTCCAAGGAGATCTGATCTACTTTCTGCCTTATCATCCAGCACCCCATATTCCAATGGCATCTAATGAGGGTCACGGTAGGCCACTGCATTGCTCGACTCCAGGGGCCGCCATCCTGAAGTGGTGAAACTCCACCACCTTGGCAGGGTAGGTGCTCTAGAAATGCTTGCTGAGTTTCAAAGTAATAAATCCTGCTTCCAGTGTCTTCACAGTCACTCAGACCTGCCTCTCTCCCAAATTGTCACTACCCAAGCAATCCAGAAAAGCAAGTAGAATGGGTTCAAATTTTCAGCTCTGAAATTCTTCCAATGGACAACATGAGTCCCTCCTAGGTGTCACAGACTAGCTTTTCCTCTTAAGAGCAAAGGTATATATATATTCAAGCCCTTTGACTCCGTTCAGACCTAGATCTGCACAGGACAGCTGGCCTAGAGGGATCTCTCCTAGAATCGTGACTTTGCAGCGGATTCATTCCATGAAGATATAAGAAAGAAAGTAAATGCACAAATAATCACACACACACACACACACACACACACACAATTAAAATTCTGCCTCCTCACCCAACTATCTGCAGTGGAAAAACCAAGAAAAGCAAATATTTGAGGTCCTGTTTCTGTGAAAAGGACAAAGAGGCAATGATTAACTTTCTACTAAAGGAAGATCAATACACACATCCAGGAGAAACAGCATCTGACAATCCTACTGAGAGCAAAGGCTGCTGCTGCTGTGAGAGCAGCTCTTTTCTGGCGGAGGATGCCCACTGGAGGGGCAATTCAGGTCAAGCTCCTCCTTCTGGTCACTCTGTGAGTCTCACCCCCTACATAGCTCCCTTGGGTCATGTACTTATGAACCTGACACCTAGCCTGGCGGTGGGGTTTTTCAACCCCAGCAGTCAGATAACAAAAGAGGAAGGCTCAAGGACATACCGATGGCCAAGAGACATATAAAAAAATGCTCAAAGTCACTAAACATCAGAGAGATGAAAATTAAAAGGACAGTGAGGTATCACCTCACACCTGTCAGAATGGCTACCATCAAGAAATAAACAAAGGACAAGTGCTGGTGAGGATGTGGGAAAAAAGGAACCCTAGTACACTGAATATGATATGTGTTTTCAGATGGGACTGTTCAGGCAAAGGGGCACTGGATTCCACATTCAGTTCATCCAAGTTTTCTCCCAACACAAAACTGCTACCAAGACCCACATCTTTTCCTCGGTCTCATCTTGCTTTAAATAACCAAATGCTAAACCTTTCTTGACTCCCCTTGGGGACATTATTTCATCATGATACACCCAGACTCACTTGCAGAACTTAAAAATGTTTCAGATTAGTCCTCTGAATTTTCACTTACGTCTTAGAAGACAGCATAAGAATAAAAAGAAATCTGGGATCAGATAAAAAAAACAACAACAACACAAGAAAAACAGCAAGGCCCAGGTGAATGAGAATATTTTTGGCCTCCATGATCTTCTCCCTAGCCTGGGCCTTCTCCCAGGTACTCTCTGTAACCAGGCAGCCAGGCTACATTCAACAACAGAATCGGCCAAACCACTGCGATTGGCTCTTGGGAAGGGCTGCATGTGCGGGGCCATTCGGCTAGGCCCAGAGGCAGGAGCAGGGAATGGCAGCCTGCCCCAGAAAACAGACTA